TTCAGTTTGGTTTTGGGACACAGGGTGGCCAGGTCATCAGGCCAGGCCCAATGGAGAAAGGCTGGCTGTGCTGGACCCCGGAGCTCCTCTGACTTTTTCTGTTTCTCTCTCTGATCTGCTCGTGTCTGTCTCTCTGTCTCTCTGCCTCGCTCGCTCTCTCTCTGACGCCCTGTCTCTTTGACTCTTTCTCTTTGTGCCCCGCCCTCTGTTATCTATTCCTGGGTAACAAAAGATTTAGTGGCTTCAAACATCAGTAACCATGTGTCATCTCACGTGGTTTCCATGGGTCAGGAGTTTGGACAGGGCATGGCGGGAAGGGCTTGTCTCTGCTCCACAATGCCTGAGGCCTCAGCTGGGAGCCTCAAGGCTGGGGCTGGGTCGTCTGAAGGGACACTGGCTCCCAGGCTGATGCCGGGCTGGGGCTGTCCATCAGGACACCCACACATGGACTCCCCATGTGGTTTGGGTTCCTCATGACATGGTGGCTGGATTCCAAGAGGAGCATCTAGAGAGAAGGGAGAGAGAAAGAAGAGCGAGGGGAGAGGGAGGGATGCAGGGGGAGAGAGAGAGGGGTGGAGGGGGAGAGAGAGAGCCACATGGAAGCCACATTTTATGACACCTTGGAAGTCATGCAACGTCATTTCCACCGCATTCTATTGGTCAAAGAAGTTACAAAGGTTTGCCTGGGTTCAAGGGGCGAGCATAGACCCCACCCCCCTCTCTATGAGGAATGCCAGTGTCATATCCAAAGAAAGTGTAACTCGGGCCCCCCAGGACCAGTTCAGCTGACCCCGTCTTGTCAACAGAGCAATCAAGAGTTGTCGTTCAGGAACTGAGACCCCCTCGTCCAGTTCAGGCCGGTTGAGACCACCAGCGCATCAACAGGGCCTTCACAAATGCTCGATAAGTGACCTTTTGACGTCCAGGAGCTAAAAACTCCATCCTCAGGCCATGGTAACGCCGCCATTTTGTGAACATGCGTCCTGCGGAGAGCCATGAACTTGACCACGCTTGCACAGATCATCAGTGACCTCACCTCTCCTCCCCTCCGTCATCTACCTCCACACGTCAGACCGTCCTGCCCTTCATCCCTTAAACTGTGCCCCAAGCCCTGGATCGGCGAGACACATCTGAGGGCATACGTCCCCATCCCCTTGCAGATGGGTCCAGCAGTAAAGGTGATTTCTTTTCCCAGAAGCTGATGTCATAATGATTGACATTCTCTATGCACATCAGACAAGAGAGCCCCAATTTTGTGCAGTAACAAAAGGATGTGGGATGGGGGATGAGATATATATTACTACAGCAATTTTCAGATAATTCTCTCTCTCTGCCTGTCTCTCTGTCTCTCTCCGTCACTCTCTGTCTCTCTCTCTTTGTGTCTCACTGTTTCCCTGAACCTTGGTCTTTCTCTGGCCCCGCGTCTCTCTCTAATTCTGTCTCGTTAGCCCCCGTCTGTCTTTCAGTCTGTCTTTCTCTGTCTCTCTGCCCACCAGTCTCTCCTCTGCCTCTCCCCATGCCCTTGCCCACCCCCTCTCTGCGGGTGGATCTCCTTGGCCCTCTCTAAGCTTCCGCCCCTGCCCCGTGACAGGACATTGGTCTCACTGAGTCAGAAACATGACCAGCAGCTCAGGCATCCACCTCCACCAGGAGTCTCTCAAGCCATGCTCTGGAGACAGAGCCCTGAGCAGCCAGTCGGCCATGGTCAGGTGCCCTGGCCCGGGAGCCCCCACACCAAGCCTGGCCTCCAAGGCTGTGTTGACCAGCAGAGTCTGGCCACCTGGATAAGGAAGAGCTTCTGCTGTGGTCTGTAGAGAAGGAGTTTTCCCTCATTCACAAAGTGTGGGGGGATTTGCCAGGACACCCATCGCTGATGAGAGAGGCTCAACTCAAACCAGTGAAGAGAAAAAGAATCTATCCGCCTGCTATGGCAGACGCCGTTGGTGCCTATGGGCTCCGGGACCACTCTGTAAAGAGGTGACAGAGAGAAGGACCTGGGAGTCACGTCCCTTGCCTGAGGCAGGACAAACTCTGAGCTGAAATTCACACTTCAGAGCCCCCACGGATCAGGACGATGCCGGAAATCACACTCCACCTGTTCCCACTCTTCCTGTCTCTACCACTGCCCGCTCCTCTCCTCTGAGGACACTTACTCAATACGTCACTTGCACAGATGCGAATGGTGGCCTTAGAGTCTGACCTGGGAACCCCACTGTATCAGTCAGGGTTCTCCAGAGAAACAGAGCCAATAGGGTGTGTGTGTGTGTGTGTGTGTGTGCATGTGTGTGTGTGTATAAAGAGATTTATTTTAAGGAATTGGCTTAGCTGATTGTCAAGACTGACAAGTCTAAAATCCAGGCTGGCAAGCTAGAAACTTGGAGAAGAGTTAATGTTGTAGTCTCGAGTCCAAACTGAGTCCAGAATCTGTAGGGCAGGCTAGCAGACTGGAAACTCAGACAGGGTTTCTATGCCGCAGTCTTGAAGCAGAATTCCTTTTTCTCAGGGAAACCTGTTTTTGCACTTAAGGCCTTCAACTGATTGGATGAGGCCCACCCAGATTAATAAGGGTAATCTTCTTAAAGCCCACTGATTATAGATGTTAATCCCATTTATAAAATACCTTCACAGCAACAGCTAGACTGGTATTTGACCAAGCAACTAGGTACCATGACCTAGCTAAATTGACATAAAATTGAGCCATCACAACTGCTAAGACATCTATGGAACAGGGATGTCCAGGATGGGATGGCCTTCAGGCACAGCTGGATCCAGGAGCTCAGAATCGGGCCCTAGGTCTCACCCATCTCCAGACTTGCTTTCCTCTGTGTGCAGCCTCCGCTGTGACAGTTCCTCTGTGTGGCATCACCACAGGCCTTTAAGTTCCTAGCTCAGCCACTGCAGGAGAAACAACCTCCCAGCCCATCTCACATTGATCCCAGGGAATACTTTGATTGCCCCACTGGGCCATGTGCCCGCCCCCGGGGCCAGTGCACTCCCACAGCTGGCTCCTCCACCAGGGCACTGGGGTGAGGGAGGAGTTCCCCAAAGAACAGATAAAAGAAGGAGAAAGGGTCACAGAAGGTAACACAGCCACATAGCTCCTCTTCACCATGTTGCTCAAAAGCACATTGTTTTGGTAACTTTTTTTTCAGAAATTAATTTTTCTGATGTTAGAAGACAAGATGAACTCATTTTTTTTTTCTCAAAGGTCATAAATGAGAAAACACATGCCCAAGCAGGACCCGCAGGCAGATGTTGAGACGGTCACCTTTATCCAGGGCACACAGGAGGCCCTCGCTGCTTTTCCTGCAGCAGCAGTGGCAACGGGGTCACGACCAAGGGTGCACGGCGCGCACTAGGACCTGATGAAAGGCTCCTTCTGAATCGTGAACTGACAGAAGAATGCCCTGGGTCACAACTAATAAAGGGCATTGTTAACAGACGAGAACAAAGCTGCCTTCATTTCTTCATTCGCCGGCCCATTTGGTGAAGCAGTTACCAAGAGCCCAGGCCAACACACACAGAGCGTGGTTTTAATTACATCCTGTGAATTTATTTTTCCAGAGAGAAATATTTCTTGGGGAAATGTCCATAAAAGCAACCTGAGCAGCAGTGTGATGGAGTGTGTTTCCTATAGGAAGTCTGTTCAGCTTAAGTCCCAGCTTGGAGCACATTTCTGCAAAGACAGGGGACCCGAAGAAGGCTGCCGACAGCCCCAGAGATGGCAGTGTTGTGGCCTGGGACCATGGGTGTGCTGGGCGGGAAGCCCCTCCCGCGAGCAGAAGGCAGGTGGGCGAGGGCGAGATAGTTTCCGCTGACTCAGTCTCCAGGTGACCTTCAGTGAGTTTGCAGGGGTATGGCCGCACGATTCTGCTTGCTGCATCATGGGCTCCTTGGAGAAACTTCTGAAGGACCAGCTATAGAAAGAAGGAAAAGGATCCCAGATGGAAGGTCTTAGATGCAAGACGGAATAATGAGCAGATACTGGTAAACATGTGAATAAATTGTGACAAACCTTGGCTGCCTAAACAACAATAAAACATTTAATTCATGAGCTAAAAAACAGGAAAAAACTAAAATGCTAGACAAGACGGCATATAAGTTGGGGCTGTCCTTGTATTACTGGAAGAAAGAAAAAGATACTGATTAATCTTAGACTTTGTCAAATACCAGTATTAGAGTAACTAAGGTAACCATTGAAATAACAACCGCATAATGCACAAGTTCCAAACTACACAGATGTAGGAAAATTGAAAAGGAAAAATTTTAGGATAAAAACTTTTCTTTTTCCAAAAGAAGGCCAAAAGATGAGGCTGAGAAGAAACAAAAAGTGGGAAAAATAGACACCACTTAAAAAGATAGTATAATAAATACAAATGGAAAAAATTCTCCAGGTAAAAATCAAGGCTACTCAACCAAATGTTTACAAGAGATGCAGTTAAAATATAAGAATTCAGAAAGGCTTAAAGGCAAAGGATGAAAATTATGTGCCAGGCAAAAACCACAAGAAGAGGGGGCTGGCCCTGTAGCCAAATGGTTAAAGTTCTGTGGGCTCTGCTTCAGCAGCCCAGGTTCACAGGTTCAGACCCCAGGGTGCGGACCTGCTCCACTCATCAGTCATGCTGTGGAGGCATCCCACATACAAAATAGAGGAAGATTGGCACAGATGTTAGCTCAGGGCTAATCTTCCTCACCAAAAAAAAAAAAAAAAACCCTGCAAGGGGAAATCAATTGATCACCATAGTGGGTAGGAGACTTTAAAACCCCTCTCTCAGTAAGTGATGAATCAAGCAGAAAAGACATGTGTAAGGATACGGATTTGGAAAGACAATCAACAAGCTTGACAGAACGGGCATATAGAGATGTAACACTGTACCCAACAATTTGAAATACAGATTCTTTTCAAAATTATATGGAACACAAGGGGCCGGCCCAGTGGCGCAGCAGTTAAGTTTGCACGTTCCGCTTCTTGGCAGGCCAGGGTTCGCCGATTCGGATCCCAGGTGTGGATATGGCACCGCTTGACACACCATGCTGTGGTAGCTGTCCCACCTATAAAGTAGAGGAAGATGGGCACGATGTTAGCTCAGGGCCAGTCTTCCTCAAAAAAAAAAATTATATGGAACACAAAAATAACAAGTGTAGGCAAGGATGTGGGAAAATTGGAACTCTTGTCCACTGCTTGGGAGTGTAAAACAGTGTAGCTGCTGTGGAAAACAGTATGGCGAGTCCTCAAAAAATTAAACAGAGACTTACCATCTGATCCAGCAATTCCAATTCTGGGTATATAGCCAAAAGAATGGAAAGCAAGTATGCAAACGGATATTTGCACACCCCTGTTCATAGCAGCATTATTCAAACAGCCAAAAGGTGGAAGCAACCCAGGTGTCCACTGACAAATGAAGGGACAAACAGAATGTGGTCCATCCACACAATGGAATATTATTCAACCTTGAAAAGAAAGGATATTCTGACACGTGCTACAACATGAGTGAAACTTGAAGGTGTTGTGCTAAATGAAATTAGCCAGTCACGAAAAGACAAATATTGTATGATTCCACTTACATGAGGCTCCTAGAGTCGTCAAATTCATAGAGACAGAAAACAGAATGGTGGTCCCCAGGGGCTGGGGGGGGGGATGGGGAGTCAGCGTCGAATGGGGACAGAGCCTCACTTGGGGAAGATGAGAAAGTTCTGGCAATGGATGGTGGTGATGATGGCACAACAATGTGAGCGTGCTTAATGCCACTGAAGCGGACACTTAAAAATGGTTAAAATGGTAACTTATATAGTATGTGTATTTTACCACCATTAAAAAAAAGGGATGATGACATGTCAAAATGTTGTTTGCTAAGCCCAGTAAAGTGGTAAATTGTGGAAAAAAAACTACATGGAACTTTCACGAAATTGACTATGTGCTGGGCCGTAAAGGCAGATCCACAAGGCTCAAAGGGTTGAGACCAGGCAGGTCACACTCTCTTGCCAGGAGGTGATCTAACCAGAAACTAGGAACCCAAAGATAACGGGGGAGCAGGGGAAAGAGCGTGTATTTGGCCATGGGCCCAAGAGGACATTCTTACAGAATGAGAAAATATTTGCAACTGAACCAAAATAAGGTATCCATTCAATGAAATGGTATGCAGCTATTAAGGCTATGGTTAAGAGAACACTTAGTGACAAGGGGGATCTATAATAAATTGTTCACTGAAAGTGAGAAGTTGTCGTGACACCACAACGTGAGCTATGTAATCCCAACAGTGTCAATGTGTGTGCTTATGTGTGTGTGTTGTATACGCATAAAAAATAGACGAGATTGTAAAATTTTTAAAGATGAGAAGGCAGATACACACCAGCAACCAGCAGAGAAATCGTGGTCAACTTTGGAAGGTGGGATTATGAGTCACGTCTGTGTCCTTCTCCGTGCCGTTTTCTAACTGAACGCATGTCAAGGAAGTCAGCAGAAAGCCTGCAATAAAAGTCACTGAGATAAAGCAGCTGCAGCTGTGTGGGCAGAGGATTGCGAGCCAGCACCCCCCACCACCACCGCACCCAGTGTTTGATCCACTCAGTGCTGCTGTGGGCTTGACACCATGAGAAGGATCAACCAAAGGGCATTGGGTGGTCAAGGAAGGGCACCCGGGACACCCTCCCACCTCTTCCCAGGTGGGAGATGCCACCTGGCAGGACCCTGGGTGGAGGCAGCCTGGATCTGCCCCGGGAGTGGACGCGGCAAGTTCCACTCCCCTGCCTCCTGCTACCCATCCCCCAGTCCTCTGACTCTGGAGCCCACAGCCGACCATGCCAGACCCTCTGGAGCACCTCAGTACCCTGGAGCCCACTAAATCGAGGGCGAGGAGGCCACGTCCTGAGCCCCCAGATGTGTCTGTTCTAGAAAACAGAGCCTGAAGGAGCTGTAACCTCCAGAGGCAGGTGTGTCGGGAAGCGGGACAGCTGTGTCATTGGGAAGCAATCAGCACACCTTCCTCAGGGCTCCAGCCGCAGCCCTCCCAGAGCCAGCACGCCGGCCTTTACAAGGGCGCGGGGACTCGGGGAGCAGTGTAGCCTGAAGAGCCTGCCGTGCAGGGAGCTGGCCTTGGAAAGGAGGGCAGAACTCCAGTTACCGAGACGGCATTTCCTGGGGCTGCCCTGGAGCGGGAGGAGGCCTCACTTTTCCAGGGGCCCAAATCCCTCCGCCTCCCATGGGGCGAAGCCCACAGCTTAAGGAGGCCCCCCTGCCCCCAGCTCCCTGTCAGAACGGAGAGGACCAAAACCAGAGAGCGAATCTTCCCCTGGTTGGGGGGAGGAGAACTATAAATATTAACAATGACATAATGCATAATAGTTTTTTAAAATATTAATGATATAAAGATGAGTAGCACACAATTTACAAATGATGAAATACACAATACTCTTTATTATAAATTCCACATAGACAATTGATTCTCATAGAATGCTTTTATTGATTTTTGCTGAACTTTTGAATCCATAGCCAACCTATGGTTGCAATTGAAAACCAAGTGTGGTTCTTTTTTTTTAATTTAATCTTTTTTTTTTTTAATGGTTTTTGGTGAGGAAGATTGGCCCTGAGCTAACGTCTGTTGCTAATCTACCTCTTCTTTTTTTTTCCCCACCAAAGCCCCAGTACACAGTTGTATATTCTAGTTGTAGGTCCTTCTAGTTCTTCTATGTGGGACGCCGCCTCAGCATGGCTTCATGAGCGGTGTGTAGGTCCATGCCCAGGATCCAAACCAGCGCACCACAGGCCACTGAAGCAGAGCACAGAAACCTAACCACTACACCACCAGGCTGGCCACAAGTGTGGCTCTGATCTCAGTGTCAGTTAATATGTATTTTCACTTAGTTTAACGAGGAAAGTGACACAACAAAGACCTACAGAGAAGTTCACTTGCTTGAGAATGACACGAGCGCTCTCTTTGCTGAACTGAATGATGGCCTTTAAATACTGGAAGGCTATTTCAATGTTTTGCGCTGTTCACAATGTAATGGCTGCAGATACGAAGTACTTTTAAGCTGAATGTGCATTTTGGTCACTCCGTCGCATTTGCCGATTTCCACAGTGTAAATACTCCCACCTTGGTCAAGAGTGACTTAACCAAACTTGGAGCTGGGAAGAGATGCACAGTAATGTGCCTCAGCATTTCCACCAGACAGACGCAAGGTGGGAATAACCTCAAGGGCACAGATAAGAGTAAAATGTGATCCAATAATTAAGAAGTGAGGGGTTTCTAGTCTTCACTACCTTTGTTTTTAACACAATGGCTCACAGAATTCCTGAAAAGTTTAACAGTCTCCGAATCAAGCAGCTGCAGCCCTCCGTGGCCTTGAGACCTGGAGCTCAGGCCCTCGGGGTGCCAGCGTCCGGGGCTGGGGGCTTGGAGGCAGGGAGGGGGCCCAAGTGTGGACTGGAGGTGCCCACAAGCTGGGCCCTGCTGGTCTCTTCCTGGGGGATAGCGAGGGGGACCCTCACCACAGCCCGATTCACCCCAGAGACCACTTGGCCCTTTACTAACTGTGACCTTTCTCATTCCACTGCTGAGTCCAAGAATTTTATTTGAACCTCACGAATGGTTGTAAAACGAGGGGAATGCCCACATGGGTGTGCGGTTTTACAGGCAATGGGAGAGAGGCTGGCGGAGGATGCAGGCCTGGCTCACGAGCCCGGCGGGTGACGCTGCTCTCAGCCGGGCGCAGAAGCCACCACGGGGGGAGGTGTCTGAGGGGGAGCTTCCCTCCGCAGCCCCGCCAGCCGCAGGAGCCGCGTCCACGTGCCGATGCCAGGTTTTGATTTTGCAACGGTCCGAACGAGCTTAATGCTTAAAATCCACGGTTTAAGAGTTTTTATTTGAAAGCTCTATTTTTAAATGCATCCCAGTGTTTGGATTGAAACGGCCCCAAAGCTGCTTTCCTTCAGAGCCATAACCTCAGGAAATGGAAAAGCCACCAAATGTGGGCTCTGCTCCACTCCTTGGGCGCGCCCTGCGTAAAGTGGAGAGTGAGGTCACCTTCGAGGGGGGTCCAGCCACGTAGGGAGGGGGTGAGTCCCAGTGCAGACCGGCACTCAGGCTGCACAATGGCCCTTCCTCCATAAAAAATACATTTATGTATTGCAAAAAATGACATTTAGGGGCCTGCCCGGTGGTGCAGCCATTAAGTTCCCACGTTCTGCTTCTCAGTGGCCCGAGGTTCAGCAGTTGGGATCCCGAGTGCGGACATGGCACCAGTTGGCAAGCCACGCTGTGGCAGGTGTCCCACATATAAAGTAGAGGAAGATGGGCACAGATGTTAGCTCAGGGCCAGTCTTCCTCAGCAAAAAGAGGAGGATTGGCAGCAGATGTTAGCTCAGGGCTTATCTTCTTCAGAAAAAAAATGACATTTAACAACTACATTGATATAAAGGCTAATACATTAATATTATATATTAAAACATTTATTCTGACCTAAAAGTTCATTCCTTCTTCTAATTATGAAAGAAGTTAAAACACAATCTCAGGCCCCTAAAAGTGTCGTGGACCCACTGCACCAGCTGTGTCTAACAGGTCAGTGGGCCTTGCTGAACAAACACGCAGGAACGCACCCCAGGGATCAGCCCAACGGCCAGCAGCGCCCTCCTGAGTGGCTCCCCTGGACCCTGGGGCCGGCCACACTCTGAGACTCAGGCCTGTGCCTGGGACTTAGGGCCTCGGAGGCCTGTGACTCACCCTGGCAGCCTTGGCTTTCTCATCTGTAGAATGGGGAGCTAAAGCCTCACTCCCAGCCCGGGAGAGGCTCACGAGAGAAAGTGGGATCGAAAGATCTTTGTAAACAACCTCACGCCGGGAGGGTTCCTCCTTTGTTCCTTGCAGCCCCAACAAAAAAGCAGACGGGACTTGCCCGACACAGGGACCTTCAAACCCTGACCGAGGGCCAAGCCCTGGAAACCTGCAGAGCAGCTGTGGCCAACCCAGGAGGCAAGCGCCAGGCACGTGATCGCACAGGATGATTTCGCCTGGGGTTTTAAAGGACAATTTTGGGAAATCCTGGGAGGGTCTCAGACAGGTTTCTTGAAAGTGAAGTCGAAAAACTGGCAAATGCACTTGTGATCAAGATCTGTTCTGAGCAAGGCACAGCCCATTGAAAGCTGCGGGCGATGTCGCCCCCTGTTCCCTGGGGCCACGATGAAAGCCCCTGAGAGGTGATTCTATGACGTTCCCCCCCTGGCTGGAGGAGGGCCAGCTGAGAGCCAGATAGGCCTCTCCAGGCAAACTGGGAGCAGAGACAGGGGTTGGAGGCTGCCCGGGCCTTCAGAGGAGCAGGAACCACAGTGAGGCTCAGCCTGCAGCCGGCTCCTGAAGATCCTCTCTGCCGAGGCCTGGAGCTCAAGCTTTTCCTATGTGAGGGGGCCGGCACGTTGGTGGAGTCAGCAGATAGAGCAGTGAGGAGGGTGGGGTGGAGATCTGAGATAGCGGGATGGCTCATTCCTTGTTGGAATAGGAAAGGCCTAGAAGTAGCAGAGGGAGCATCCACTGGAATGCTCAACAGCATCCCTGAGAAGTGATCAACTAGTCTCTGCTTGCACACCTCCTGCGACGGGGAGCTCACTATCTACCCAGGCCATCCACACCACCTTTGGACCACTTTGTCTCAATGCAGACGTCTTCCTTATACAGAGTCAAAGTCTATCTCCCTATATTTCTCACCCATGGGTCGGTCCTAGGGCCACAGAGAACAGTTTCACCCCCTCCTCCACCCTCCAGACCTTTTATTTGAAGACAGTGGTTGTGTCCCTGCTCCAGCTTTCTCTTCTGTCAGCAAAATAGCCCTGTTTCTAATTTTGAGAAGTACTTCCAAAACACCCTCTAAAAATATCAAACAATTTACACCACCACATCCTCAACCACACCATCTATTATTAATCTTCTTAACTTTTGCCAAATGAAAATTTGTGCCAATGTGTGATATTAACTTACAGCACGCAGATCGTCACTGGCAGCCAACACTCAGACAGAGCACGCTGTGAGCCAACTGTCGATCTTTCTGCTTTATGACCGTAATGCATTCATCCCCTGACAGCAAACTATGAAGCAGGTACCGTGTGGATTAACCCACTCATACGGCTGGGAAAGTGGGGCAGAAATTCAGGCCACTTGTCTAAAGTCACAAGCTAATAAATGAGCCCTCCACAGGCTGAGGGCAGGGGCACCCTGACCTCCCGGGAGTTGAACGCAGGTAACTCTCTCTTGCCTGGATTCCCAAACTCTCTGCCACATTATCTCTTGAGAGGAAAGCTCAATGTTGGTTTCACGTACTTCTCGATCATTGGCACCTTTTATGAGTTAACCGCCTGTTCACATCTTTCTTCCATCATTCAGTCAAGCTATAACTATTTTTCTTATTAGGCTTTAAAAAGCCTTTGTGGAGCCAGCCCTGAAGGCCTAGCGGTTAAAAGTTCAGCACATCCCACTTCAGTGGCCCGGGTTCAGTGGCTGGTCTCGTCTGTCAGTAGCCATGCGGTGGGGAGGGGTGCTCACAAAGCAGAACCAGAAGAACTTTCAACTATATACAACTATGTACTGAGGCTTTGGTGGGGGAAAAGGAAGGAAAAAGAAGAAGAAGAAGATTGGCAACAGATGTTAGCTTAGGGTGAATCTTCCCCTGCAAAAAAAAAAAAGAATGGGTTTTCTACAAAAAAAAAGCCTTTGTCTAGTATGAATATTAACTCTTTGTTAGAGATGTTGTAAATACTTTTCCCAGTGTGCCATTTATTTTTTACTTTTGCTTAGCTCTATAGAAATTTTCCTTTTTATAGAGCCAAGTGTTAATTTTTTTCATCTATAGCTCTTTTGAAAATCGTGTCTTTTTTTGGGACGTTCTTCTTTGCCCTAAAATACATTTAGCACCGTGCTCTTTTCTAAGTCCCCTACTCCTCCACATTCCACTGCCGCTCACAAAATAGAACGATTATAACAAATGTATAAATAGTACATCAATAATATAAATACATTTATAAATATTACAAATATAAAATGTTCTCCAATTATTTTCTCCTAGTATTCTCATATTTTTTAAACTCTTTAATTATTTTGGAAGTGTGGTCCGGGCCCCACCCGCCGCCTGGGCTCTGCGGGGGTCCAGCAGTGGGCTTGGGCATCCTTCCTCCATCTCCCGGGCAGGGGTCCCTAGGGGTCCCCACAGCAGAATCAGACACAGGGATCACACCGTCCTCCCTGGAGTCCAGTCACATGTTGGGGTGTCCTTTACTTCCTCCCCCTCAGCCCCCTGTTCAGGGGGGCGAGTACCCATTCTTGCCTGCACCCCGCTCCTCCATGGCTACTGTGGCTCAGGACCCGGACGACACCCAGGGCCCAGGGAAGACCTACGTCTGCCTGGCCACGTGCATCCATCCATCGGGCGGGTGGGCGGCTCCTCTGCCCGGGAAGCCCCGAGTTTGCAAGGTCGGCGCTGGCTTCGCACTGCCCCAGTCAGAAGGGTGTTATTGCACTTCGGGAGAGGCAAACATGTGCGCCCAGGCCTGGCGGCCCCTTAGCTCCAGGGGCCCCACGCCTGGCCTTGAAACCACAAACACCTGGCAGGGGTCTCTCTTCTCAGTGCCCCCACCCAGAAACCCCATCCCCACTGGCGGCCAGCAGCCCAAGGCGATCTGGTGCCTTTCAAGTCCCCGCCCTGTTGACCCGCAGGTCTCAGCTCAGACGGGGGTCTTCGTTCTCTCACAGGACAATGCTGGGGACAGCTATCAACCATGGAAGAAAAGAGGTTTCTGGACTTAACTATGTGTCTGTGGCACATTTCAGGACACGGCTTCTCTCTCCTAAATCAGGAAATGAGATGTGAGACCCTCCACCAAGATGGGGACACCAGCTACCTGCTCCTGACGGAAAAATCAAGGGGCACAAGCAGGAACCCGCCCCCCCACCCCGGGAGCAGCAACCACCACTTACCGGGGACCCTGTGAGCCGGAAGGCTCTCGAGAAACCTCCCCATCCCGAGGGGGCCATGGCAACCCTGTCCACGGACAAGATGCCACACAGTCACTGGGACCCCAACCTCGGGCCCTTCCCAGGCCACGTGGCCTTCTTCCCACCAGGTCCCTTGCCTTTGCCTGTGGGGTTTCTTAAGGGAAAGAAAGCCATTCTGTCACCAGATGAGACAGCGTCCACGAGGCCATATTCACCCTGCAGCGGTGGGGCTTGCCAGGGAGAGAGGACTCTGGAGCTGCACCTCCCTCCATGGTGGGGGGCTCCCCGCCAGCCCCACCGCAGCCTGTTCCTTCTCTGCCAGTGGAGGTGGGTAAGGCTCCAGTCCTAGGCCGTGTGCATCACCAGCTCCTGGTTCCCTGCTCCTCCCCAAAGGAGAAAGCATGGCGTCGTGGGGGTCGTGCGGCCCATCTAGAACCCCAGAATGTCAGTTGTAGGGACAGGAGGCCTGGCTGGCCAGGCTGTGAAATGCACGCCATGGGTTGGCATGCCGCCGGCCAGGCCTCAGCTCCTGGCTTTTCACGCCTGAAACCCACACCCATCTGCCCTTCCTTGTTGATAATAAACCTTGTTTGTGCTTCAAAAATATAGGACATGATCCAGGAACGGGACACAGAGCCCAGTGATGAAAAAGAAGTCAAGTGCTGGGTCCAACTTTTGACTTCCAAGCCTGTCAAGGGCCTTTCAAGCCACAGTTTGGATGAAGACCCAGGAGACGGGCTTCAGGAGCGGGAAAGGGGGACGTCCTCCTTCCACTCAGGACTCGCTCTCATGAGGGGAAACGCTGCACAATCTGAGCCTCTTCTTGAGCTGCGAGCTGAGGCCACAGGACAACCACCTGGCCCAGAGCCTAGAGGCAAGGATGGAGGATGCGAAGCACTGGGGGCCATGGTGCGGGGTCTGCGCCTCGTCATGGGTGTTCTCCAGACCCTCTCAGAAGACAGTGGACAAAGTTTTAGCCAAGGGGCCCTCGTGCTGTAGACCTGGGGAAGGGGGCAGCCCTGAGAGGCGCACAACTCCAGCTGGAGCCGTCTCCCTAATGCTCCTGCATTGGGACAAACGACAGCCTGTGTGGCAGTGACAGGCACCGTCAGCCCGAGGGCCCTGCAGGAATGTGGGGGGGCCCACAGCTACAGCCCAGGGAGGGACAGGAGCACTGAGGAGGCCATACCCCTGGGACAGAGCCCAGAGAGACGGGGGTCAGTCAACAACAGAGGGTGCCACACCTTCCACTGCGGGGCTACAAGCATCTGGTGGCAAGAAATGGTGGAACAATGCACAAGAAACAGAGCTAATCAATATGTCAACAGAAACACCCATCCTGGTCTAGGAGGATGGAATGTACGCATGTGGCATATTTTAATGTTGGGTTAGTAGCACAGCACATCCTGAGGCCAAATGAGAAAAAGATGCCGTCTGCCCGACAGAGAAGAGCCATGCGACATCCGTTCCTGCTCCAAGTTCTCTGTGAGCCAGGAACAGAAGACTATGTTCGCAGCAGAACAAAGACGTCACAGCAGCAGTCGCCACTGCGCTCAGCAGCAGTGCACGGAAAGCTCCAGCCATCGAGTGGGTTATCAAACGAGGATGATGCCTACTAGCATTTGTTCAGCATTATTAGGTGGAGGCTGGGGGGGGGGGGGCGGGCATAAACAAGGTCAAAGGCCAACTGGAAACTAGTATTTGCAACTCAAGACACAAAGAGCTTCTAGAAATAAATCCAGAAGAAAAAGACCGAGAGCCCAGTGGAATAAAGGGCAAATGATCTAACAGTCAGTCCACAGAAAGAAAGAAAAGACCCTTAACCCAAATCAGGAGATGCTCCAACTCACTCAGAAGAAGAGAAGTACAAATTAAAACCTCACTGAGATCCCCTTTCTCACCTATCAGAGTGGCAACAATCCACAAGTGTGGCAATAAATGCACTGTTGGAGAGGCCATGGGGAAAGGGGCACGCTCGGCTCGTACGCTCACTGGTGGGAGAACGAAACCGCACAGCCCCGCAGCCAGCCCCTCGCTGCATCCACCCCCATCACAAAGTGTTTCCCCAACAAGCCAGCGACCTCGCTCCCGGGCGTCCATCCCGCAGACACTCCTGCACACGTGAGAAAGGATGCACCAGCAGAAGGCTGGAAACCCCTCAAGTCCAGCAGTAGGAAGCTGGGCCAGCCGAGCCAGGCACGTCCCCCGGGCCATGCCGAGCAGTGTGCAGCGAACGGGGATGACCTCTAGGGACCGACAGGGCGAGGTCTCCCTGTACTGGGTACATTTTGCAAAGCAATGCACGGAGTATACAGCACACTACCCTTTGTGATACTGCGTTGTGGGATATAGAAGAATGTATTCAGATTTGCTTGTAGTCCCCTAAAGAAACAGAGGAAGGCGAATCTAATAAAAATGGCTGCCTACAGGGACAAGGAGAAACCCAGTAGACAGGGAGGGGAGGGAGGGAGATGGCTCGGTGTGGCCCTTTTGTGTCCTTTTGGTTACTGACCTATGTTAATATATTACCTATTCAAAGAAAAAAGCACTTCAAGTATAAAGGAATGAAGATAGAAACCACATTTTTAAAATTATAGTTACGCCACACACAGAAACTTGGGATGTTCAGGATACTGACGCACGATACCAGGAGGGGTGATTTTCTATCAAAAACAGCATTTACACATAATATTGTCATGGGTCACACAGGCTCTTGTGGGAATGTGACTCAGTGCCACCACCATGTGTGGGGCCAGCCAGGCCTTGTCTCCACAGGCACCTCCTAAGGTCACACGGCTCTGAGGCCAGTGGCCGGCTTCGTCAGGGACCTCTGGGAGGTTCCCACGGTGCCTTCACCATGGCCACACATCCCCTGTCATGTCCTTATAGCAGTGCCAGCCTGGACACACGCACAGTGAGTGCTCCTCCTGCTGCTCTTCCCCGAGTCAGGGCCAGCCCATAGCTCGACGTTTCCCTGTCCTGAGTCAATTCTTCAGTGTATTCGTCCTGCCCAGTCACACTCACGCCAGTTGCAAACGACAGACGCACTTCCTACAGCATCCCCCGAATCGTTGGTGATGATGTCCAGGGGAACAGGCCCGCCCAGGGTTCCCTTCATACCTGTTCAGACAGGAGCCTCTGTGGTGAGGTCTTTCAACAATCGCGAATCCAGGACGCACTGACACATCTCGTCCCCAAGGGAGCAGAAACCTTGTCAGATGTCTAGACGCATCATACACACTGCGTGATCTGGCTTAGTAAGTTCATGGGCAAAGACACTGTGTGGTGGGCCGCAGAGACGGTGGCCCCCACATGAGCAGCCTTGCTGTCCCTTCCCCGCCACACGCCACCACTCATGGCAGCTCAAATAGGGAGAGGGACCAGGTCGTCTACTGTCCAACCAGGACCCTAGTGGAGGATGGGAGGCCTCGAGAAAAGGCCCGGCAGCAACTGTTCTGGGCAGATCAGGACGGGACCACCCTTCTGAGCAGGGGAGCAACAGCACCCACCCAGCATGGGGGAACAGGGACAATAAGGACCGCGTGCACGGTGTTCACAGCACGTCTAGCAAGAGGTGAGCCTCCACGTACGCAGCTGTGATCATCTAGCAAAATACTGGCTTTGACGTGGAATTTTTTTTTTTTTTTGAGGAAGATTAGGCCTGAGCTAACTGCCGCCAATCCTCCTCTTTTCGCTGAGGAAGACTGGCCCTGAGTAACATCTGTGCCCACCCTCTTCCACTTTATGTGTGGGATGCCTACCACAGCGTGGCTTGACAAGCGGTGCCATGTTCGTACCCGGGATCTGAACCGGCAAACCCTGGGCCGCCAAAGCAGAACGTGCGATCTTAACCACTGCACCACCGGGCTGGCCCCTTTGCCATGGATTTTAAACGGCAAACGAGTTTTATGACTTGCTGCATCACGGCAATCGCAACGTTGAAAGCTTTTTCTGAGAACAGGACGGGGAACTTGGGAGTGCAGAGAAGAACAGGACGGACGCAGTGAACTTAAGTGATAATCCACGACTAGAAGCTCGTCTTCCCAGCTGACTGGAAGCGCTGTAGCAGTGACAAAGGGACCTGGGGGGGGGGGGGGGTGCTGCGTGCTGCGCTGGCAGCTCGGGGAGCACTACTGTCACCTGTGAGTGGGGCCGTGGCTGCCGGGGAACCTTGGAAGAGGAGCGCGTGTTTTCACCACACTCATTGGCCAGGCCCTGAGTCTTCCTTGGCTGACCAGCACAGCCTCCTTCTAATTTATGGACTTGACTTTCTTCTGAACCCCACTTTCTCACCGGAAAGACCAATTTGCTTGGTCTAAGAAGCTGATAATCAATGCGGAACTCAGCTCTAAACATGGACTTAAAAATTAGTTTTAGGGGCCGGCCTGGTGGCATAGCGGTTAAGGTCACATGCTCCAGTTTGGTGGCCTGGGGTTCACAGGTTCGGATCCCAGGTGCAGACCTACACACCACTCGCCAAGCCACGCTGTGGCAGTGTCCCACATACAAAATAGAGGAAGACTGGCACAGATGTTAGCTCAGGGCCAATCTTCCTCACCAAAAAAAAGAGAGAAAAACCCAAGTTTTATAGTTTAAAAAAGCTATTTGAATTTCTTTTCTCTAGCTGAATTAAAGAAAAAGTCCTCAATCCCCCTTTATGAAAACACACGTAACAAGCAAAAAAGCTTGCAAAGCTTGCATAACCTCTACTTATTCAAACACCTTTTACAAAAATATAAAACCTTTTCATGAAGGAAGTGCTTTGTAGGATGGAGGTAAACTCAGAGGCCAGCGGCAGCCCGGCAGCTCAGCGAAGAGCCTGTGCGGCTCCCCCAGGCCTGCCTCAGCAGCTCGTGAAGCTTCCATCTCACCCTCCCGCTTTTCTCCCTCAGACCCAGCCCGGGAGCTGTTCAGAGGAGGCTGTGGCGGGCTGCTCAGGGGTACGATGAACATGCGACTGGCTCTCTGCAACTCTGGGTGTGGGCAGAAGATTCCAGGGCTGGGAGCAGAGTCCAGGTCAGTGCGGAATGTTTTCCCGGATGGCAGGCACTCCTGCGCACGCCATCTTGCTGGGCCCAGCCTCATTTTGAAGCCGATTCTTGCAGAAGTGCAAGCAAAATGGTCATCCTAAGCCGGTGACCACTGACACAATCCATTTATTCCACAACTGTATCGGCCCTGCCCTCTGTCCTTTCCCTCGTGCACCATGACACTGTGCACGTCAACCGAAGACAAACCCCGGCCAGTTCAGGGCCGCTTGGCAGGAAGTCCAGGACTACTCCAGGGCGCTTGGCAACACGCTGAAGAGAATTGCAGACCACCCGAAACCCTAAATCGCACTCAGCGCCACTAAATGGCACCATCTCTCTCCACAGATTTCAGTCAGTATTATTTTTTTAAGTTGCTTATTGAAAAGAAAAAGAGGTATGAACATCAAATTAGAAAGCTCAAACTCTAGTCTTGAATCGTTTTTTCCAAAGGTTTACGCATTTCTTTTGAATATAAATTAGTGTCGGCTCAACTTTTAAATTAAAATTTCTGAAGTACGAGGCCAGTACTTCCTGAAAACTTATCAACCAGAGGAGAGGAAAACATTTAAAATCTCATTTGTGTATTTTATCAAAATAATAAATAACATCAGGATTTAATTCGTTGATAAGATACAGTAATAATCACATGCAGAGGCTTTCTCTAACTTCACAAATGATCTTAGAATTTCTGCTAAGTGCTTACCTGTCTTATAAAACTTCAATTTATACTGAAAAGGGATAAGTGTCACAATATGAATGAAAAGATAAATTTCCCTGAACTTTCTTCGAAGAAAAACAAAACACACACATTTGAAAACTTAAAAATCCAAATGCTTATGAATTTTTTTCCAGGTGTGAACTGAATTGCACAACCCATACACTTATAAAAAAAAATGTGATTATTTTTAATGATTTATGTATAAAAGAAAAATAAATTTTTTGATACAATTTAACAGACTACTTTATACAAAATTTTACTCACATATAATGTATGCAATTTTTTGCAACACAAAAATTCTAGTCAAATATACAAATTCATAAAAGGCAGACATCTTAACTTGAAGCAAAACAGGGTCCATTCAGGGTTGTGGCTAAGCCATTCGACTCAGCAGAACAGAGATTATAAGTACAGGAAGGACCAGTTAACTAACACGCCCCACCTTCTCCAATAACGTACTTAGTATAACCTGATCCACAGAATTGCATGGTGCACCACAGAAAGGAGAAAAGGACCGACGTCTCAAATGGCAGATCTCAACAATCTGATCTGGAACTTACTCAGCTTAGAAAATCATAGAACTAACTTAGTAAAGAACTTATTTTGGAAATTACATTAAGAAAAGCTTAACTGTGCCATCTGCGCTACTCATTTAGAGAAACAAAACTTTCTCAGGCCATTCTAACATTTCAAATGGCATTCCTTGGTTTACATAATAAATACAATATCTAGAAATAAAAGTATCAGAACCCAGACCTTCAGACCCGTAAGTATGTCCCCAAACAGTGAGATCCTTTATACACAAGTAGAAGTATTCAGTATGTACAATATTATATGTAAATGAAAAACTAAATATAAACCATGTTTTAAAAAAACTTTTGCTTTTAAAAAACAATTTCCAAAAAACGGTAACAGCAAAAACACTTTGCACATTAGCGCATCCTTGTCGGTCGTCTTCTGCATCTTCCCTGCGCTGACTCTCCCAGGCACACAGGGCTCGAGAGCAGGCGAAGGCAAGGGAGTGGTGCCCAAGCCCTGGAGAGCAAGCCCCTCTTTAAAGAGAACAAGGAGCCCTGTGGAGCTACTCGAGTATTCACGTGGGGAAACCAAGGGACAAAACGCTGAAGAAAGTGAGGATACAGCCCGTGACAATCTCATGGGCAGACGACGTGCATGAAGGTCACACTGAAACCTCCTTTTCTAACAGTAGAAACACAAGCAAAAGATAATAGGGACCAAGAAGAAAATTACCCAAAGAAGTATATGCAATTACAAAGACGTTAAAAAAAGTTCACACGTACCTTATAAAGACACGGGCTAAATTAACCCTTTTCAAGTGGAAATGAGGTAAAAATGAATTCATTCATTCTCAGGCCTCATCTGTTTAAAAAGTGCCTATCAAAAGTTCAGTCTCCCTTCACTCAGGCTTGACGCACACAGGTCCTGCCACCAGACATAAAGACTGAACCCAAGGACTCCTGTGGCCCTGGCGTGCCAACGCCACTCCCCTGCTGGACAGGTCTGCTCAGAACTCAACAAAGCGGGCTCCTGCAGAGACACACACGACAGGCTTCCAAAGAAAGTCCGCACACGGGCGTTTTGAAGAGCTATTTATAACTAGCAAGTACTCTAGCTGGAAGAAGGTAAGAAAACACGGTCTTTATACAGTGAATGCGCCTAAAGTTTTAAAGCTCTGGAAATTAGTTGGACAACATTGTAAACTGTCCGTTGTTTGCAAACTGAAGCGTCAAGAGTAGCGATGCTCCGTCTTCCTTCCTGTTTTCAAGCTGAGGAGGACTTCAGTCTGAGACTTGCGAGCGCTCACCGCCTGGAACTCAGAGTGACGCTGCGCACCATCCTCTGGATCTTCTCTTCGTTCCTCAGGATGGCGGCCTTCACGGCACAGATCTTGTCCTGCTGGTCTCTGATCAACTGCTCCAGCTCCGCCAGCTCCGCCTTCAGGGGCTCCACAGCGCAGTCTGTGACGCTGACGGAAACAAAACCAGCGGCTGGTAAACACCTCGTCTCGCTCTCAATTTGCTTCTTAATTAAGCAAAGGTGACAAAAGTGATTTACTCATTGCACCCAAAGAAAAAGGGTAAAAGCATGAACGTACTGCGATAATGACATAAAAGGGGCAAAAACATCACCTAGGAAAAATCTATTTCTTATTTTCACAACCCCCTCCACAACCAAAAGAGAAGTCGAAGATGAAATTTATACAAAGGAGGCTAATATTTCTTAACGTCCTTAAATTAGCGATGTCGCAGGGAGCCCTGGGGACGGCGGGAGGTGAGCAGCAAGGCCCATCGACATCATGAGTCTCCACCTGGATGGCCGACAGGTCCCCACCTTCCTCGCAGGACAAGCCCTGACCTCCGGGACAGGCTCGCCCGGCCTCAAGGGCATCCCGCTGAGGCCCCTCGACTCACTTGCTCAGGACGTGACAGGAGGCCTTGGAGTTGTGGGAAAATACCAGGAAAAGTCTAGAACACACTTGGGAAAGCCGAGGTCAGAGGTAACCTTTCCCTTTAGGTTTTTTTAAACGTAAAAATACAAAATAAAACAGAAAACAAAGAAAGAGTGAGTCTCCAATCATCCTACCACAAAGTAAAATCAGGTTTTGTAAGGAAGAAACATCTAGAACGGCACTTTCAATACCTCAAATCAAATGTACGAAGTGCTAACCAATCAGCGTGCTAGAACAGGCACCGAAAGTTCCCTGTGTCTTTCTAGTTTCTTTCTTGTTGTAACGTTAAAATGAAAGGGACTTTCTAAGAATAAGCAGGCTAATAATAAAGAGTAGGATTTCGTTATAATACAGCTTTTTATGATATGACCTTATAGACTGAGTCAAATTAAGTGTTTTCTGAAAAAACACTTAACAGTTGAGTAGTTACACGCATTCCAGATTCACTAATTATAAATACAGAATTTCAAACACTTCCTTTCAATAAATCTCTTTTTAGTGGCTATTATATTTCTTTTACAGTTGCAATTTCAAAATGGCCTCCCCAGCATTTCTTTTAGAATAAAAAATTTAAATACTTTCAAATTATGAAGGGTTACAAACTTTGGGGGTTTTGATAAGACACATGGAAAGGCAGTGTCCAACCTGCAAAGTTCCCCATCTCTTGTGAACATCGACATCTACCTCGCGCGTGAACATTAACTCCTAAACTTTCCAGCTGCTGCAAAAACGCACGCCACGAGAGGACGAAGCGGGGACACCTCTCCTTCAGGGAGCAGGGGAGGGAGGTGCTGGTTCCCGGGGAGAGTCCACCTGGGCTCTGGCAGATGCAGGGCTGCCCGCCACCCCCCCATTACCTCCCTGCCCGCCCGCCCGCCCGCCCACCCACCTCTGCTCCTTCTGCAGGGCCTCGGCGTGCTGCTTGTTCTCGCTGTGCCACAGCTGCAGCTCGTTCTGCATGGCGTCCACGTCCTCCTGGATGTAGTCCATGATCTTCCCCAGGGGGAGCGCACTCTTGCACAGGGTCTGGATGGACGCACGCAGCTTCTCTATCTCCTTGGCAACAACGTCCTTCTCCTTCTTCCACGCCGACTCAAAGACAAGCAATTTCTCCTGCAGCCAGTGGGGAAAACACGAAGAGAGAGCAACATCCTCACTCCTCAGGCAGAACGGGCCTTGCGAGGGGCAGAAAGGCACGGGAGTGGGGACAGTGCTGGCTCGGGGCCCACCAGGCTACGTGACGTCCTGCCACTTCTGTGAACCTGAGGCTTGGGCCAGCAGTAGCCCTGAGGTGCCAGGCACTGTGTGAGCATGTAAGACCACTGAGGGTCTGTCCTGGAAGGCAGTCTGAGGGGCAAATTTCTATCCGGTAAGATTTTTCTTCCCAACTGACCAGAAACTTCTCGTAGTTATTGTTATAAAAGCTTCAGGACACTGATGATTTTCCCCACGGTCTGGCAGAAAGCGGACCTGACTCTGCATATCACTCCTTGAAGGCACGACCTTTCCCTCTCAGGTGACTGAAACCCAGCTTGCCAGGTGAAGGGAGGAAAGGAACTGAACGAGAAGAGGTAAACTGGTGATGTGGGAGTGAAGGGATGGAGCCTGCGGAAGGAGGGCGGGGCCCACAGCACCCGGCGGGGGAGGGGGGGGGCAGGCTGCTGAGGGCTGGACGGAGCTGGACTGAGTCTGGAGGTCACGGAGGCCCGGGGCCCTCGGTGGGCATCACTGGTGCAGGGTCAGGGAGGGGGGTGGGAGGCCTCATACAGCAGGAGGTGAAGGAGGTGAGGACCCAGAGGAGAGTGGAGAACTTTACTGAATTTTGGCCAGGAGTTCTAGGGCTCTTTGACAAGCAACGTTTAGAACTCTCTTTACTTTATTCAAAGTAGCCAAAAACTGGGAACAACTCAGATGCCCTTCAGTGGGGGAACAGTTAAATAAACTGTGCTACATCCATGCCATGGACTACTACTCAGCAATAAAAAGGAATGAACTGTCAATTCACACAACGGATGATCTCCGAGAGGTACGCTGAGTGAAAGAAGCCAATCTCAAAAAGTTACGTGCTGTGTGATTCCATTTACATAACATTCTCGAAATGACAAAACTATAGAAATGGAGAGCGGATTCGTGGTTGCCAGGGCTGGGGCAGGGGTGGGGGCAGGCAGCGTGGGTGTGGTTACCAAAGGGCAATAGGAGGCTTCCTTGTGTGGATGGCAAGTTCTGTGTCTTGACCGTGTCAAGGTCGGCATCCTGGGTGAGAGAGTGTGCTAACAAGATGTTATCAGTGGGGAAACTGAGTAAAGGGCACAGTGGGTCTCTCTCTGTTATTTCTACAGGTATCTCAAAATACGTCTCATTAACGAAAAAAGGTAGCAGCTATAGAAATGCCTTTAAATTAAAATGCTAAATGGCTAAAATGAATTTGATACGATAGTAAACTACTTCCCAAGAAAAAAAGTGTTGTCTTTATTATATACCGATTAGTAAATCCCTCACTGGCTTAGGTGAGAAATTTAAAACTCTATTTAAACCCACTGATAGTGACTACTGAGTAATTCCCACATATCTGGCATCGTGTTGACTCCAACATGGAACTGTTTAGGGCACAGACCTCAGGATGGGAGACTGATATGCATAAAAGTCTTAGTCACAATGTGGACAAGGACATTAGGGGTCACCTGGCCAGGTCCCTCCTGCTTTAGGTCACCTTGTCAAACCCTGCAGGTTTCTGTATCACAGAACCAAGCAGAATTTGGAACACTAACCTTAAAGTTTATAACCTTAAAGTTTATAACTTTACTTTTAAGAGGTTAAGAATGTAAAACAGGACACATTTGGGCTGGGGTTATGACAGTCAGCAGAGGCTTTTATTATTGCTGCAAACATCAAAATTCTGGCACTTCTCAAACTTGCACTTAAGTCAGCGGGGCAGGGTGGATAAGTCACGCCGTGATTATGTGCTTTAAAAAGCACAGCCCCTGACGATAGACTGATTTATATGGAGCCCACAGAGCGTTATCAGAACTTTGCAGACAAACATAACCATTATAAACCTGCGTTTTATAGACTTTGAATATGCACAGTAAAATCTGAGGATCTACCACCATACTCACCACCCAGGAATTAGTCACAGGAAGTATGCTTAATTTTTTAAAACAAAAGAGCAAAAAATAATGAAACAGGATCATTACACAAAATACCACCTAAGAGGAGCGAGAGCGCGGCGGCCTCGTGGGGACGCGCGAGCTGAGGGCGCGGGTGCCGCAGGCAGGACTCGGGGCCGCCGGAGCTCCCCGCCTCCCCACGCCGGCCTGGAGCGCGCCCTGACCGCCCTGTACCTGGGCTTCCTCACAGCGGCATGGAAATACTACTTACCTGCAGGTGAGACTCAGCGGGCCCAGTGCCTCGCACGGTAAACCCTCAGTAAACGTCGGCCTGATCAGGAGAGGAAACGAGCAGCCCCAGGAGCCGGGCCGGGGGGGCTCTCTGTGCGGGCCTGATTGACCAAGAGGCCGAGGCCGCGTGTTTGCAGTGACCTTGCCGCACACCAGAAATATGCTTACACGTTGTCAGCACCCACCGCCACGTTGTTATGTCAGCTTCGGGCAGACACATTCCTCCATCAGAAACTCACAGATCCTCCTCACTGACACACTCCTTCCCCCTCTCCACTCCACGCATATAAACGACCCACAACCACGAACAAGGCCTCGGCCGGCTTCCCTGACGCTCAGGGGTCTGCTCCGAGCCTCGCGGCACAGCCGCAGCACCTGTCTGTGGCACCCTTGCCACAGGTCAGTTTCTGCAGGTGACACAGAGAGGTGGCAGCGTGTGTGTTTCACGGGGACACACATCCACCCTCCTGTGTCCTCCTGCCGCGCCCTGGCTGCCTGCCTCCCGCCGGCTGCGGACTGTTTACTCAGCTGCTTTCTGGCAGGAAGGCCCCGGCTAAGTGTTCCAGCACTCAGCCGGCCACTTCACACACGTGCTTTAGGAAAAGTGATTTTTCAAGATTTTTCAAGTGAATAGTTACTTTTGGGACTTAAAATTATTTGCATTTACCACACACACACTTGTCCCCAGAAATGTGGGCATTTGTGTTTCTGGTTATTTTTAAATTTACAATCATTTAGGGCATACGAATAAAAACCATTGACCTGAGAGATTTGCTTTTTTAAATTTCAACTGCAATGCTTCAGAAGAAAGTACTCTTTCTAAAAGTACTTAGAAGCCTGAGCCTCACATGCTGCCGGAAGCCTTCTCGAAGCAGGGTCTGGGGTGCACGGGAGAGCTGGTGGCGTCCGCACCTGCTCTCCGCCCTGCGGCTGCACCTGAGGGTCGCACACGCCTGAGGGGGGCGCTCCCCCATATCAAGCAGACCCAACAAACAAAGGCCGATCCATTGAGGGGAGGGATAATAAATGAGAATGTAAGCATTTGCTCTAAACAACAGACTGCGACGCGACCTCAGACACTGATCTCTATCCAACCTGTCAAAAGCTCCTTTTCCTCACAAACTGAGGAACGCCTGCATCCCAGTCACAAGAGAAAAGCAGAGACCAACAGAGCAACCATTCCGAGTGCTCATTCTATCACCACCTTCTGTGACAACCACACCTTCATCGCTCGTGGGTCCGACCACATCCCCTGCACGCACAGTAAAACAGTCTGTAATCAAATACTTTAACCTTTTTACGTACGTACAGAAAGCACAGACAACGTAAATGTACGGTGGAACAAAACGATAAGGTGACACCTGCAGCCTTTCCCTGGGTCAGGAAAGCAAACCCCGCCAGGGTCCCCGAAGCCCGACGTCACCACAGGCTGCCCTCCGTGCTGATCAAGTCCCGGGTCTGTCTGTACCCAGCTCTGCTGTGTGTTACCTGCCTGCTGGTCTCACTGGTACAGGACAAATGGAATCACGCAGTCCACACCCATGTGCATGCCTCTTTTGCTCAGCACCATGTTTAAAAATGAAGCATGCAGTTACAAGCACGTGTACTCTGTTCATTTGCATCGCTGAGCGGTATTTCATTATATGAATATGTTATGATCTATTCATCCACTCTACTGCTGATGGACATTTGGGTTCTTTTGGTCTGGAGCTATTACGAACAACACAGCTCTGAATAACCTTATACACATCCCAGCACAAACAAGCACAGGATTCTCCGGGATATGCAATGACAAGTGGCACCACTGGGTCAAAGGGTACATAGACCTTCAACTTTGTGACATGATGTCAAACAGTTTTTTCCAAAATGACCCTAGGAATTTACATCAAATATTTTCCATAAACCAATATTTTATTTCTACATGTATAAGAGAGCACAAGCTCCTGTTTGTTCCTGCCATCTGACAGCTGCAGGTAACAACCACTAAACTCCTTCATGGGCAGCAGACAAAAAACGGCCACAGCAACGTGCCGCCAGGAAAACCTCCCAGGGGATAAAATCTGCTCGTTGCAGCAACTGCAGGTAAGAAAGAGACATGAGCAGGAAGCCTTCAGAAAGCTCTCGTGTATGAGAAGCTACGCACGGGAGGTTAACTGCCCAGGCTGGGGCCACACAGATCTGGGGTGACGTCCTACCTCTGCGACTTACTGTCCACGTAATCCTGGACAAGATAACTTCTGTGCCTCAGTTTCCTAACCTAGAGAATGGGGATAACACCTATCTCAGAAATACTGTGAATATTAAGCAAAGTGACATATGCAATTCCTTAGTCACAGTAAGTGCTCCATAAATGTTAGCGATTGTTGTAATTATTATTGTCTAAACCAAGAATAACCCATTGGTAAGCTTCTACAGGAGGAGAAATGAATAAGGCACCTTCCAGCACCTGGTACAGAGCAAAATATCATGCAATGTTAGCCGCTTCTGCAAACATTAGTGTCCCTGCAAAGGAACGAGGAACTCTGGGAAGTCGGCACAAAGTGAGAGTCCGGAGGCCTGGCCTGAGACTCAGTGGGTCACTGTGGCTGAAGCAAAAGGTCAACGCACAGAATAGAGAAGACACATCTTTACATTTGCCTTTCTGACTGATCTTAAAATGGAAATATTTAAAAAATCATCCTATCACACAGAGGTGATCAAACCGACATGAACAGA